GGATCAGTATTTGATATACTTTTTGGACCATCCAGTGGCCCTAATATTAAAATTTTTCAGCGGTTTCAGGAGTCTTGGGAATCTATTGACCAAGAGAAATATGAAAGTGCCCTTAAAGATAAAAAAATCTCCACTTTCCTAGCACCAATACAAAACGAAATGATTGATTTCATTCGAAATCAGCTTCTTCTTTTTCAACCTCGTGAGGACTATAAGGAGCTACTTATTTTGTCTCTTATATTCTTAGGTGCTGAAGACAAAATTAAAATTCGAAGTCCAGGAGCCTACCATAGAGCACGGTGGATGGCTAAATTAATTTATTGTATGAAAATATACCTTTTCAGGAGTCTGTTTAAAGTAAGAGCAAGTGAGCTATCTGGGCTTCGTCAGTTCAACTTATTTTTAATTAAAATATATTTGAAAAAGTGGTATACCAGTCAATGTCCAATTTTAGCTCCAGTAAATGATTTAGAGCTGTTAAAAGATCTTATTCAATACAAATCAATAAATCCTACAGTTTCAAAAGCAGCATACGACACTTTTTCTAGGCACTTATGGTACCTAAGTGACTCACTCGCTGGCTTGTCGTTATTCGATTCCCGAATATCAAATGAAGAAAGGAAGAAAATGACAAATTCTTTGAGAAAGGATGGCACAGAAATACCTCCAAAACGTATCATCGTGGACAAAGATACAATCGACGTAAATGAAATATCAGACTTCATAACAGAGAATAGTAAACAGATTTTCATTACCAACGGAATAAGTTTAAATTTTCTACATAAAGATCCAAGTCTATGGGAAGAAAATGAGGAATTTATTAAGTCACGGTATCGAATAGGACAACTGAAGGTAGTTAATGATGTAGCAGAAAGGGGTGTTTCATTAATTCAAAATTTTAATTCCGTGCTTACGAAACAAGAAGAACAAAAACAGTATCTACTGCAGGTGGTAGAATATCACAGAAGAGAGAAATATTCTTTTAAGAAATCAGTAAACTTGAATTAATTTAATTATTTTATAAAATTCCTTTGTTTATGTTAAAAATGTTTATAAAATATTATATAATAAATGAATATACTATTAGTTTATTAATACATTAATATATTAATATATGAATTTAAACAAATCAAGAATAAAGACATGCTTTGAACATATATTGAATGTGTTTAAGTATCCTCTCAACCTATATAACCTCATTACTAATACTTTAAACGCTTTTATCTCCGATTGTATAGCATAAATTTTTTCCACAATTTTTTAGGATATTCAGGAAACATCAGGGAGTAATTCCGATATGATTAAATTGTCAAAAAAAATTTATCAATCAAGGCATCGGTCAAAAACTAACTAAAAAAAATTAAAAAGTTTGTTTAAAAAATCATATCTGCTTTTTAAGAAAAGAATAAATAATTTTATTATAGTGAAATGGAAAGGTCAAGAGGTGTACTTTATGAAAAAAAAATATACAGCGAGTATCTCATGTAAAAAAATAGCTATTTTTTCAAATTAATAGCGAAAAACTGGAAATCTTTCAATTCCGTCACAAATGTGACTTGTGCGACTTCTAAATATTTTTTTAAAAATCTGAAAAAAATTCAGTGACTGTTTTTAACCATAAAGAAACAGTGGTTTCAAGAAGGCGACGAAAAAAAAATATTTTTGAAATTTTGAACCGCCCTACTCAGTAATTTAAAAGATAAGTCAAAGTTTATTCTTCAAAAGATATACATATGTCTGATTTGATTCTAAGACATTTTATAAAAAATAATTTGAACGAACGACAGTGTTCTCAATTTTTAAGTTAGAAAAACTTGCATGCTGTACAAGTGTATCTTCTTTCAGCCGATCTGTAGTAAGCTATTTCTTTATAACTAAGACATTAAGAGCTTTGGAAATTTTGGAGAAGAAAATGTCTTCGAATACAAACAGATATATGTCTTTTGAAGGAGACAAGTGATTGTTCTAATTCAATCTACGTACATTATATATTTTTTATTTTTAATTTATTTTTTACATACTCTCTCTCACTCTCTGATGGTGTCGGTAGTTGTTGCTGATTTGGAGCCAGAAGTCCTATTTAACGATGCTAGGACGACCGAGTCATCTTTACGTACTCATCAAAGATTTCGCGGGAGACGCGGTTATAATACGCAGAGAAGTAAGAAGTAATACATCTTAGTTTTTCATCTTGACTAATAACCTGAAAAATCATTTTCATTCTCTTTTCCTTTATAGAACTATATAAATTTTTTGCATAAATATATATCAATTTTCTTTATAATCTATAAAACATTCTTATAATCCATAAAAAATTTTTGTCCTATTTCTATCGTAATTTCGTTTAATATCTACTTAAATTCTACAAATTTATATAAAAGTTCTACAAAATATTTTAATACAGAAACCAATAAAATTAAAATGTGACATTTAATGTTTCTCCTGGTGAAAATTTTTGTTAGAATTTTCCATATAACTTTTTTGAAAGTTTGTATAAGTTTTATAAATTTTCAATATTTTTAAATAATTTTTTAAAACTGTATCAGAGCTTTTTTTAGAAATTGGAACACTTTTCAGAAGTGCCGTCTACATCTTTTTTATAATTTTTTGTACGTAAACTCCAAAATATTCTTGAATTTTTATTGTAAAGTTTCTCGTTTCAAATTATCTGATGAAATGTTATAAAATCTGAGAAAAAAGTTTAGAGCTTTCTTTTCAAAAATTCAGAAATTACAAAATAGAAAATATAATATTTCAGAATTGATTCACTAGGGTATACTCTATATTTATATTATTGTAACAGTCACACCTGGCAATATCCGCACACTTAATGCAGCATCTATAAGTGAAACTAGACGAGGTCGTGGGATGCCTCGCAGTTGGCACAGTAGATCTACGAGATTAAGACTAAATCATCAGAAAGTCGTACAAGGTAAAATACATGTTTTTATCATTTATCGTTATATATATCTCTGTTATTGACTGTAAAATTTATGTTAACAGTTGTGTTCTAAAATTTACTGCCAGTACTAAAAATCTATTGTTTACGTTACGTGCATTATATATTTTCAGTACTGGCAGTAAATTTTGGAACATCTCGTAATATCAATACAAAATCTATAATAAGACTATTAATAAATAGAAAATAACTTAAAAGGCGAGTCAAGCTACTCATTTATCCATTCCAAAGATATATTCCTGACTCGATTTCAAGATATTTTTTTTTAAAAAAGGATTTGAAGAAAAATGTCCTGTTTGAATCTTAATTTTGTAATTACAAAAATAATTAACGTATTACGAAAATATCATCTTGCGTCAGATTTGTAATACGCTATTTCTTTTTATGAATAAGAGATTAAGATTCGAATAAAAATTTGGAAAGACAAGTCGTAATTTATTTTCTACATATAACTAGTAATGTCGGAAACAGTCATCGATAATTTGGGATCGGAAGCCCTATTGGACGATACTACAACGAACGAGTCAGCTTCACGTGTTCGCGGAAGACCACGCGGAAGATCTCACGGAAGACCTCGCGGAAGACCTCGCGGAAGATCCGGCAGAAGACGCGGTAGACAAACTCATACGCAAACAAGTAAGAATTTATATCTTAGTTTTTCATCTTGGCTGTCATCTTAAAGAATAGTTCCTAATGATTTATATGTACTGTACGTACAATATACACACGTAGTCGTTAATGCCTTAATACGCCTTTTCATACTTTCTTCTCATTCCTTTTCCGCGTGTAACTTGGGATGTAAAAGCATTAATGACTACGTGTGTATATGCAGTTAATTAAGCTAATGTAACTTAATCGATATTAAAAGCTATATTTTTTATGATATTTGATTCAGGCGGTATTTTTGTGTATATCGTCAACAAAATTATTGATAAAATATGATAATAAATTGATATCAATTTAGGACACGCGAATACTGTACAACAAAGTACAGAGACGATTGATTTGACGGAGAACACACGGAAATCTGATCAGGCTTAAAATGATACAACGCCGTCTGTAAATGAAGGTGAGTTCTGAATTTATACACAAAAGCGACGTGTTTAACAAAACTGAATTGATTCATTTTATTTTCTATTATATCTTCATAATGCTTCATTCGTGCGAGTGTTGGATTTATCATTAATAAAAATATAGAAAACGTAATAACGGTTGTTATTGTTTCAGGACAGGCGAGTGCCGAGACACAAAATAACGAGACGTTGATTTGGTGGAGAATGCACTAGGATTTGATCAAGTATCTGATTAGGACGAAATGATACCGTACGTAGATGAAGGTGAGAGAGAGAGAGTGGAGGGAGAGGGAGAGGGAGGGAGGGAGGGAGGGAGGGAAGGAGGGAGGGAGGGGGAGAGAGAGAGAGTGCGTGCGCATATATATATGTGTATGGATGTATATAATGTATTTTATTATATGTAATACAACAATTCTTCAGAGACAGTGCAAGAACAAAGTAACCACGTTTTGTCTTTTTTTTTGCGATTTTCTCCAAAAACGAGCATATATCGGACTTTTTTTCTTAGTTCATCGATCCTCTACACGCTCCTGAAGTTTTGACATTTAATAAATTCGGGCCACCCTGTATATGTATATATATATATATTCTCACAGACATTTTTCGGGTGGCACCCAGTTGGACACGGCTCAATTGGACACGAGCCACTCACAGCGCTTGAGAAGCTTACAAAGCTCCTAAGCACCGGTCGCTGTGATTGGTGGTGTCCAATCGAGACGTGTCAATCGGGATCACCCCCATTTTTCGCATACTTTTTTATCCGAAAATTTAGCGTTAGTTGCACTTTTTGGACTGATCTTTTAGGCCGACCGCCGATTATCTTCTCACTATCTCAGCTATACACGATTAATGTCATTATCAATAAATTATTACATTTATATATTTCGTTGTTTTATTATTTTACAGATAACGAAGATATTTTTCGTGTGCCGGACGATGATTTCAGTGCTATCATCTCAAGTGAAGATGAACAGATCGATATTCCTTTTCATCCGGTCATTTCTACAGATCTAGTAACGTTACATGAATGTAATCCAGGCTCATGCTGTATATGCTTAAGCACCGATGCCATTTACGTATTTGTTCCATGTGGTCATTTGTGTATCTGCAATGATGCGTGGGACATCTGGAAGATGGCAAATGTCCGCTTTGTCGTAAAACGTTCTCAACATATATTCGTGCGATATCAACATAAAAGGAACTATCGTGTCTTCAGTACAAACTTTGTACTGAAGACACGATAATTCATTTTATGAACACGAAGGTTTTTATCAAAAACAAGATATCATTGATTTGTATTGCTACATACTTCTCTAGACACAATACATTTTTTTGGGTGGCACCTAGTTGGACACGGCTCAATTGGACACGAGCCACTCACAGCGCTAGAGACTACAAAGCTCCTAAGCACCGGTCGCTGTGATTGGTGGTGTTCAATCGAGCTGTGGTCAATCGGGATCACCCCCATTTTTTTTATTTCTGTCTACACAAAGGTTTTTATTAGCGTCAAGAAAATTTCCGACAGTAGCAAATTAAACATTCTGCTGTACGTATTCAATGGGCGCATTCAGCGGACTCAACAGTTGAGTGAGCGCTTACTGTTATTGGTGTATTCTTCTAAATCTAAAATTCTGATTGGATGAGCTAAAATCCATTGGCTGCGGTCAGCAGACTCAACTGTTGAGTCCATCGATATATAACACTGGACGGAGCATAGCATCAAAACCATCTTGACACGACTGAAAGAGATGAAACAATGGTTGCGTTCAGCAAATTCAGCAGTTTTGCAACCGTTTCATAATTCGTTGCGCTGATTGGATTATACTTTTAGATTTAAAGGAATAGTCCTATCTGAGCGAAGAATCACAAAACGGTTGCAAAACTGTTGAGTCTGCTGAACGCAGCCAATGTTTGGGTAGGACACACTGATGGGTGCTGAACGCACTCATTCTTTCGTGAAACTTCTCTCGGGAAGGGTTCCGATTGCACACATTGCATGTTGCACACATGCGTCGCTAATTGGCCAATTTAAAAATAAATTATTCTCATTGGTAAAGCAGTGAAAAATTACTAGGCACAAGCTGATATGAGTGGTGTTTGCAATCGGGATTGTAGGCAAACGGGATCCTCCCAATGCACCCATTATAGTGGACTTGACGAACCTATAGAGTTGGGAGCCAATCAGATGCAAGAGCCCACTGAGCGCTTACTGAGCGGTGTAGTACTGAATGCACCTATTGATTCGGCCATTTTGAATTTTTAACCCCGTTTCGAAATCAGCTACCTCGAAAATTCCCATATACCAAATTTTACCGGAATCGAAGAACTATTAACCTCAATGAAAAGAGGCTTCAGGGCGCGTAATTCATCGTCTACAATACACGAAGTAAGAAATGAGAGTAAAAAATTGACCAATTATAAACAAAATAGAATATACCGTGGTAAAAATTTAAAACAATATAGTTAAGAAGGCATACACCACGAACGCCAGATTGAGATTGGCTTGAAAATTTATTTGTATTTGAAATATTACAATAAAATAGACGTTTCGGTCTTAAATTAGACCTTCCTCAGTATTACAAAAATAGTTAATAATAATTTATTACGCATATAATTAGTTAAAATTAACGAATATAAGTTCTATATGTTGTCAGCAGATGATTTGCTAACGCTCTTAAATAGATTTGATTACGATAGACGCAACCGTGTTCAAACAATTAAATTGTCTACCGGATCCTGATAAATGAACTAAAGCCAATAGGAACATTCTTTGTTCAACCTCGATTCAACGCAAAAGTTCCTATTTCTATTAAAAATTATATATAAATTTTCTTAAAATTAATCATATTGATCGTGTTCACAAATTTCTTTTATGTGAGCATAACAAGAATACTTTATATTGTAATATATTTAAAATATTAAGTAATTTAATTAAAAAATACAATTTGAATAATAGTTCTAAATTAACCATGTCAAGAGAAAAAAACTATATAAAGATCAATATACGTCAAGAGAATAAAAAGATTGAAAAGATCGATATATAATACTTTTTAGACAAACTAACCTGCGTCGAACGATAAAATAAACAGCAATCCGGGATCTAGAGCCAATGTGATTGTGCTCAGCGTTAAAAACGTTATATTAATTTTCGTACATGTTCATATACATTCACTGAGATAGTAATGGAAAGTTCTAGAATTATGTAGAGGACGATATTTTAAGTAACGGAAAATATGATTCGGGTAACTTTTCCGTGTCATTTTGTTTATTGATACTATGTGTTTGTTTTTTGATGAATATCATTTCCGATGTTAATCTTTTATTGAAAAAGGGTTTCGTATCAAGAATTTCTGTCACCCCATTAAATTTGTGATCAAAATTCACTTGATGTTGTGCTACTACACTGTGGAGACTGCTCGAACTGGCAGTGTTCGATTTATGTTCTTTTATTCTAGTTCTTACTTTTCTTTTCGTTTGCCCAACATATGAGGATTCACAGCTCAGACAATTGATTTTATAAATTACATTACAAAGTTCCATTTTGTTAAGCTTGTCTTTCCCTGTTTTTATAATAGAATTAAGTTTATTCATTGGTTTGTAACCGATTTTAAAACAATTCTTTTCAGCATGACCAATCATAGTTGATTATTCTTTTCACATTCGACTGTGATTGGTCGATTTCTTAATCTTACCTTTTACTCCGTGTATTGTAGACGACGCATCACACACACACGTCAATTTTAAGATAGAATATAAACTTAATTCATCCCCAGTGAGAGAGAGGTGGGGAAAAACAGTAAAAAATTACTAGGCACCAGCTGATATGAGTGGTGTGTGCAATCGGGATTATAGGCAAACGGGATCCTCCCTCGATTTACTGACTCGACCCGACTCTGAGTCAACAATCTGTTCTGTTTAGCTGCAACAGAAGAGCTAAATTGTGTAAGAAATGCAGCTGAAAAGAACAGACTGTTGACTCAGAGTCGGGTCGAGTCAGTAAATCGCTATCAGAAGCTTTCTCGACTTGAACTTGCCCAATAATTCGATCTATAGTCATTTATAATTTTTCACTGGGTAAATATTTGTAATTTAGTAATGTCTATAGGCTCCGATTGCACACATTGCATATTGCACACATGTGTCGCTAATTGGCCAATTTAAAAATAAAATATTCTCATTGGTAAAGCAGTGAAAAATTACTAGGCATCAGCTGATATGAGTGGTGTGTGCAATCGGGATTGTAGGCAAACGGGATCCTCCCTAATTTTTTATCTAAACAAAATATATCAATTTGTCATAAAAAAAGTAATATGTTTAACTAATTTTAATCTAAATGCGTGCGTAAAGTGTATCAATATAAAAATATTGCATTAAATATATAATTTCCATATCGGTGGGGCGGAAGGGAGGTTCCCAGTATTTTTGAATACATTACCAATGAAATATTATTATTTTAAATTAGTCAGTTAGCGATGTGGGCAAATCTGTAGTATACATTCTGGCCCATATTCAGAACGTGCTTACAACGATGTTAGCGCGCTAACATACTATATTTTACGTTACGCATATTATAGAATTTCAGAAATAAAAGCGCGCTTTTGTCGATAAAAGCACGTTCTGAATACGGGTCTCTAACTACACACGCTATCACTGTTAACGAAGCCATTTGCTGGATTCCCACTGCATCCGATTTGCGTCGTGCGACGCTCTGCAACCAATCAGAAAACAGGATTCCGATGGATTTTGCTTCGTTTCATCGGAATACTGTTTTCTGATTGGTTGCAGAGCGTCGAACGATGCAAATCGGATGCAGTGTGAATCCAGCAATTATGTCGGCATGTTTTTTTTTCATTTTCCGACCCACTAAAAACCGTCATAGCATCATGCGACAAAGAATCCAAAGATACAGCGATAATATCCTCCGGGGAGCAGAGGTCTCGCTTGAACACAATTCTTCGCACCAATATCTATCGCACCAATGGGAAGGCTCCGATTGCACACATTTCATATTGCACACATTTGTCGCTAATTGGCCAATTTAAAAATAAAATATTCTCATTAGTAAAGAAGTGAAAAATTACTAGGCACCAGCTGATATAAGTGGTGTGAGCAATCGGGATTGTAGGCAAACGGAATCCTCCCCACACCAATCTCTATCGTACCAATCTCGGGGTGATCCCGATTGATCACGGCTCGATTGGACGCCACCAATCACAGCGACCGGTGCTTAGGACCTTTGTAGTCTCAAGCGCTGTGAGTGGCTCGTGTCCAATTGAGCCGTGTCCAATTGGGTGCCACCCCAGACTTTCAAGCCTATCTCACATGAAATGTATAACGGAGCATAAACATGAAAGAAGACCGCTGGAAAAATGAATATCGAGCATAAAGTCGCCATGTTGATTTACATAAGCCTTATGTTATGCTTACAATCTGTTACCCTGGACCTACAATAGGTGTTTTAAGCCTTTAGTCGCAAAAAAATTGACCAATTACAGTCGAATCCGAGAAGAATAAGCGACTGTTATTCGTCCATTTCTTATGGCTTAAGACTGAAAATCCTATTGTAGATCCCGACTTATGCATTTCACGTGGGATAGGGTTTGCAGAGGGTGCTTTCCATTTGAGGGCACAAATCGACGCAAGTGTCATTCTATCTTTATCACTCTCTAAATGCCAAGAAGATAGAACAACGCTTGTGTCGACTTGTGCCATCAAATGGAAAGCACTCATAGAAGTCTGTGAGCAGAAGGCAACGAATTTGTAACCATTTTGTGATAATCTGCTGAAAGATAGGATCATTCCTCAACATTTAACAATATAATTCATTCAGCTTGAAGAAAATATCGGACAGTAGCAAATTAAACATTCTGCTGAATGTATTCATTGACTGTAGACTCAACTGTTGAATCCATCGATATATAACACTGGACGGAGCATAGCATCAAAACCATCTTGACACGATTGAAAGAGATGGAACAATGTTTGGGTAGGACACACTAGTGGGTGCACACATTCTCTCGTGAAACTTCTCTCCCTCTTGAAAGAAAGTCAACCAATAGGACAATAGCAGCCCACGTAGCACAGCAGCGCATGGAAAGCGCTTTCGAAGCGCTCTTCAGATCGCACCACCCAAAACTGCTGTCAGTTATGCGGTTTCATAGCACATGAATAACTCGGCAGATTTCAAGTCACATTGATCAAAAAATGATTATGCGCGTGAAAAGCGCTTTAAAAGCGCTTGCACTTCAAAGCGATTCAAAAGCGCTTTTTTAGCGCAGAAACATCGAGGTTTTGTAGACATTATCCCGGGAAAGAATGTTTTATATAAAATTACATAAAATTATATAAAATTGTATAAAATTATATATAATAA